GTGTTGCAGGGCCCCCGGAGAAGCGGGGGGACACGATGCCCTCCCAGCTTTGGGACCGGGGGGGCATAGTCCCCAGTGGGTTCCTCTGCTCTGCTCCCACCCGTGTGTGCGTGGGGCCGGGTCCCCCCCCCACCTCCCACTGGTGGAGAAAGCACCAAAACCAGACTTTCCCCCCCTTTTTCCTGGCTCCACAAACCCCGAATCCCGGGGGAGAGGGGGGTGAGGAACTGGAGGTTGGTGTCCCCCCACGGAGCCGTGCCCACGGCAGCCCCTCTGCTGCACAGCGGTTTGTGCCCCGGCCTGGTGCCCACCTCTGATGGGGAAAGGCATCACCTACAGCCCCAGGGAGGCTCCCAGACCCCCTTTTGGGTTTTTTTGAAGTGGAGAGTTGGGAGGGAGGAGGAAAGTTGAGCCACAGCTTATTCTGGGACCACCAGGACGGGTGGGACACTGCTGGAACCCGACCCAATGTCCCTGTGGTACCTGCCCGACCCCAAAGGGCCACCACGATGCTCTCCTACCACCTACTGCAAGACCTCAGGAGTGGGGTCCCTCTGGGCTGGATGGGGACCTGGGGGCTGCCAGGGGATTCGGGGGGCTTCCAGGGGACCTGGGGGCTGCTGAGGGACCTGGGGGTGCCAGGGGACCTGGAAGTACCAGGGGACCTGGGGGCTGCCAGGGGATTCGGGGGGCTTCCAGGGGACCTGGGGGCTGCTGAGGGACCTGGGGGTGCCAGGGGACCTGGAAGTACCAGGGGACCTGGGGGCTGCCAGGGGACCTGGAGGTACCAGGGGACCTGGGGACTTCCAGGGGACCTGGGGGCTGCTGGGAGATCCTGGGGGCTTCCAGGTGACCCGGGGGTGCCAGGGGACCTGGGGGCTGCTGGGGGATCCAGGGAGCTTCCAGGGGACCTAGGAGATACTGGGGGACCTGGAGGTACCAGGGGACCTGGGGACTTCCAGGGGACCTGGGGCTGCCAGGAGATCCCAAGGGCTTCCAAGGGACCTGGGGGCTGCTGGGGGATCCAGGGGACCTGGGGGTGCCAGGGGACCCAGCCCCTGCCCCTTACTCAGGGTCTGCACCAGCTGGAGGCAAAGGGTAGAGAATGGAAGAGGGAGATGGAGGGAGAAAGGAGCAAAGAGGAGGAGAAGCGAAAGGGGGTGAGAAGAGACAGGAGGTGCTCGGCGGTTCCTTGGCCCTGGTGCAGACCCCCCCAACCTCACGATGGAGCCCTGGGACGTGGGTCACTGTCCCCTGCCACGATCAGGACCAAACCTGCCCAGCAAAGAGCCCCCCGTTCCTCTGGAGCAGCACAAATGACGGCGGAAGCAGCAGAAGAGCGAGGCAGGAGGAGAACAGGCCCTGGGGCATCAGGAGACTTCAGCCCATCCCAGGTGGGATGCTCAGGAGAAGCAACGGCAGCGAGAGACCCCAATGTCACCCCAGACAACCATAAACGGCAGGATTCTCCTCAAATCACCACCCTCCCTGATGGGGTAGAGAATGGAAGAGGGAGATGGAGGGAGAAAGGAGCAAAGAGGAGGAGAAGCGAAAGGGGGTGAGAAGAGACAGGAGGTGCTCGGCGGTTCCTTGGCCCTGGTGCAGACCCCCCCAACCTCACGATGGAGCCCTGGGACGTGGGTCACTGTCCCCTGCCACGATCAGGACCAAACCTGCCCAGCAAAGAGCCCCCCGTTCCTCTGGAGCAGCACAAATGACGGCGGAAGCAGCAGAAGAGCGAGGCAGGAGGAGAACAGGCCCTGGGGCATCAGGAGACTTCAGCCCATCCCAGGTGGGATGCTCAGGAGAAGCAACGGCAGCGAGAGACCCCAATGTCACCCCAGACAACCATAAACGGCAGGATTCTCCTCAAATCACCACCCTCCCTGATGGCAACACCTGATGGGTGTTTTGGGGCTGATGGGAGAAGAGGAACCGAGCCCTGGAGATGGTGTGAAATCCCTGGCTGTGGAGGACATCCAAGAGGAGAGAACTGCCACCAAACGCACCGTGTGGAGCCAGGGATGCTCCCGATTCCTGGTGCCACCAGCAGGTACCACAGCTCCACCAAAAGGTCACTGGTCACAGCTTCTATCCTAGCTTTTACTGAGAGAACTGGGGTTGGGTGATGGGGAACCAGCTTTGGGAACAGCAGGATCAATAAAACTTGATGGGGCTGAACACGGGAGTATCTCAGGGCCATCTTCCAAGAGGTGGACACCGAGGGCACCCACACAACCTGGGGGGTCGAGACCTGGGGCTGCAGTTGGTAAATGCAGAAGGAAGATGAAACCGCAACCACAACAGCTCGATTCCTCTCCCTGGAGGAAGGTCAGAGTTTCATGCTCTTCCTGAAGGTTTCTTGTCCACGTTGGTGCTGAACACACCTGCAGAGGGGGGATTCCTGCCAGGCCACTCGTTGTGTCACCTCTCCCAAGAAAGGGTGGCAGAAGCCATGGTGTGTGAGGCTGCGAGGGTGACCCAATGGTGACCATGTGCTTTCAGAGCTTTATTTCCTCCAAAAGTTCCTGGAAGGTGCCCCCTTTCCATGAAAACAAGGTAGACCTTGGCCTGGGAACGCTGCTGATCTGAGCCAGGGC